CAAGGAACTGCAATTAGAAGGAGGTCTTGTCAAGAGACAAGCCTGGAGGCACCGGGAGGGGGTATCATGACTAGGCATTTAAATCTATATTAAAGGTCTTTGTGCCAAAGGAAGAACTGATTTACTGCTGAGCTTAAACAGAGAAATACCACACTGTAGACACCCCGGAGAACGGTTGCTGGGCTGGAGGGTGACAATACTGAAGGCAGACAGGCCAGCTGGGAAGCAGTTCAGGCAAACCAGGTTATGGGGGAAGAGAGAAAAGGTAATTGACACCGAGCGAGAAGAGAATCCAGGCTGCAAGACATTAAGGATGCTGAGGGAAATCCTAAGGCATGATGTTGTCTGTGAACATGGGAAACAAAAGGACCAAGGAAAACGAAAGACCACTTCCAGGTTGTGGAATGTCATGGTTAATCCTGACTGTCAACCTGAATGGATCAGAACGGCAGAAGCACACTGGTGGACTGGTATTTCAGGATTAAATAAGACTTGGGAAAGCCTGCCCTAAACATAAACTGTAGGGCCCTGGTCTGCCCTTATTCCTGGGGCGCATCTCGAGGACAATTTCTGGTCAACATGACTAAGCATTCAGCCCTTATTCCTATGGCGCATACAGTTTCTAGTCAGATGACTAGCGTTCTGCCCCGCCTGGTTAAGTTCCAGTATTTTCCCTGTATAATCCACCTGGTGGTTAGCTGCAGGGCATTCATTCCATTGTTAATATGGTAATTTCCCACCTGCCTGGGCAGGGGTCCTAGTGCTGCAGTTAGGTAGAAAAGGACTTTCCCAAGTCTGAATAAACGGCATTCGCTTGATCTCCTATCCAATGACCCTGGTCTCTTCGTGTCTTATGTTTAACCTCCAGGCCTTGCCCTACTCGCATTCGGTACAGTGGCACACTAGCTGTACCGAGGGTGTGACACCAAAACCGGGTGTTACAGTAAACAGCACCATCCCCCAGGCTGGGGGCTCAGATGATGAAAACAAGGAGCAGAAAAACATGTGCCCATAACTCCCCACTCCCTGCCCTTGTTCCTGACTCTCACGAACGGAAAAACTGTCGCACTGCTCTCGTCCATCATAAGGAACCGAGACCTCTAGCATCACAAGAAAGCTGAGTAATCTCCGCTTTTACGTTATTTCCCTCTGGTATTTGTCAGGCAGGGAGGCAACTGACCAACACATGGGTCCAGCAGAAAACGTGCCAGTTGCCAAAGTGAAGAGCACACTGGAATTTCCTTGTGGTAATGCATTAAGTTTTGAGTCTTTGGGGCTCTGAAATAAAGTAAACCATTAGAAAGCTGAACATTGGCATTTGGGTAGTGAGACAGTTCAAGATCAGACTCCAAATCCACAGAATGCTGGCCATCAAGAAAGCCGCGTGAAACAGAAAATGTAAAGTGGACACCAGCAAAAAGGACACGAAAAGGGAAACATGGCCCCGGCGATGCTGAGGACCACATGGCCAGCCCCTTTATATTGGGTCCCATGGTCTGAGTTGATGAGGATGATTGACCTTTCTCTTCCTCAAGGAATAGGTTCCACTGAGATACAACTCAGGATTGCTGGATTCAGAGTTCAGAGCGTTAACCATTACACCAAAGGAGCTGGTGGGACGGAGAGATGGCTCAGCAGCTGAAGGCTAGGCTCACACCAGAGGGCATGAACAGGGCACTAAAAAAGAGTCTGAGGGGCAGAAAGACCAGGAGAGGAGACAGGATGATGAAGGATGGGCAAGGAGATTGTCACAGGGACATTTCAACAACCTCAAATAAAAATAATGAGCATTTGTTCCAAGCGTGAGGGAGGGGCTATGAGCCTTGATCATGTGAGCAGGTTTAATGGGCCTTCAAGATAGGAGCCAATGTGGGAAGGGAATTGGAACTAAGAGTCTGAAGTCAGTGAGGAATGAGGAAAGATTATTCATTCCCAAAGCATGATGGGAAATGAAAAAGGTAGCAACCTTGGACAACTCCAGAATACGTTATCCCTTAAATAATGTTTTGAGTCATTTGAGTATGAATGGTTACATACTAGAGAGATTTTATTTAATGAAAAGTACACTTGACTGTAATTCAAAAACACTGTATTCCTTACTCAGACACCTTGACAATGTTTAGCCATTAGCTTTAAAATGTTTAAGCTCTACCGGCTAGCAATAGTAAATCAAAGATTTAGGAAAGGATATAAAGGCTACAATCCATTTGCTTTAGAGGGGTCATTTCTTTAGCATCAATGAAAGTGTATCACATACTTAAAATGTGCTCTGGTTTCTTCATTCAACTATACATGCCACAACTCAAGACATTCCGAATGCTCAATATACTCTATCATTCTGCCCACACACATCTGCTGCTTTTAAGGATATCCAAGATTCCATCTGGACAGGACATTCTGCATTCACACCTACCTCAAACCAACAACAGAAAAAAAACCCACACCTCCTCCACAAGGTGAAGAACACTTCCTCTCTTCGGCTTCAAAATAGTTTCTCTGTTAACAAGCTCTAAGTGTATGAGTCTACAGCAAGGTTTTGATTGCTGGGAAAAGGAAGGCACCTAAGGAGGAATGAGGTTACTGGAAAAAACAAGAGCTGCACAAAGAAAAACGTGGTGATGGAGGACTAAGCTACGTTGTTAGAAAGAACAGTATTGAAAAATATCTATGATCCCTAAGTTATAGGTTAAGGGTTTTTGTTATGCCAATTAATAGCTTAAACTCTCTACTTAAAATCTGGAAAGCTTAATCTAAAATTAAGTGGATACAGAAAAGGCTAAGAGTAATGAAAATAATCTCTATAAACAAAGTTGGAAGACTAACACTATGGGACCTCCTAGGCTGAGTTTACAGACAAAGTCAATAAAGAATGTGGCATCAGTGCAAGAATAGAAAAGTCGACCAGGGAAGCAGAGTTTGGACACTGACTTACAGCAAAGCTGCCAGAGACAAAGGATGATCATGGGAGAGCACAATAACCCTTGACTCCTTCCTCACACCATACACAAAAGCACCACTAGATGGACAGAAATAAACATAAAAATGACAAAACTTATGTAAGACGGCATTGGAAAATTCCCTTGTGATCTTGAATAAGATAAATACTACCTAAAAGGAAAAGAAAATCCCCACAGCAATGAGTTAGATTGATTCAGTTGATCCAGAGATAGCATAAATAGGGCTAGGAAGATGGCTCAGTTGGTAAAGTACCTGCTTTGCAAGTTTGGGGACCTGGGTTCCAACCCACAACTGCTATAAAAAGCCTGATGTGATAGCTCACACCTGGAATCCCAGTTCTGGGAGGATCAGGTCCATCTCTAGATGGCCTAAACTAAACAGCAATTCATAGGCCAAAGAAAGACTTTGCCTCAAAACCAAGATGGTGGCACCTGAGAAATGACACTGGAGATTAACCTCAGCCTACACATCCATGAACATACATGTGCGTGTGAGTGAGTACACCCACACACACAATAGCACACAGACAGGGGGTTAAGTCACAGATGTGGAGGAATAAATTACTGTATTTATCTGAAAAGGGTTCATATCCTTTACTTAGAAGTTACTGTGGGACAATAGTCTTGTACCCTGTAAAGATTTGTGATTTGTATTAAAAAAAAAAAAAAAACTGATTGGCCAGTAGCCAGGCAGGAAGTATAGGCAGGGAAACCAGAACAGGAGAATTCTGGGAAGAGGAAAAATTCAGTTTGCACTCGTCACCCAGACACAGAGGAAGCAAGATGAGAATGCCTCACTGATAAAAAGGCACCAAGCCAGATGGCTAACACAGACAAAAAATATGGGTTAATATATGATGTAAAAGTTAATAAGAAGCCTGAGCTAATAGGCCAACCAGTTTATAATTAATGTAGACCTCTGTATGTTTCTTTGGGACTAAACTGCTGCAGGACTTGGTGGGACAGAAACCTCAAGCAACAAGAAGTAGCTTTCTGCAAACCAGAAACTAAAAGGGAGGTCACTCAACTTTATCTTAATGGACAAATATTTCAATAGGCATTTCATAGAACAGGCTACTTGAGCAGCCCTGAAGCAAATAAAAATGTCTAACAATTTAAGTGATCAGAAAGATGCAAGTTAAAGTTATAATAAATTATTACTGAAGATTAATCATAATAACTGGAATGCTTTCAAATAAATTTTAAAAAGCCAATGCTACAAAGTATTACTGAAAATACAAAGTAACTGGAGCATCTAAACACTGCCATGGGGTATAGACATTGTTAGAGCAGCTTGGGGAAATCATTTGGCAGTATCTACTCAGCTAACTACACAGGTCTCTATCACTCACCAATGCTACTCCTATGGAGTAGTACCCATACATATGCAAACACACACACACACACACACACACACACACACACACACACTAAAAATCCCCAGAAGATACAGAATAGCTTCATGTTTGGCATGTTGATGAGGTGACGATGGCATCACTGTTGGGCTGTTCCTGTAAGATTTGAGTACTTCTCAGTATGTCTGTGAGACTTTGACATAAGCATATGAATAATGGAACACAATAATAAAAAGCCAATTATAAATCTTGGTCTTCCACATTAACACACCTTACAGATTTGGAGTTTAAATGGCATTTCTAGCAATAAGAATCTTAGAAAGTTGAATACATTTAAGTGGCCTACATATATATATGTGTATATATATG